TCAATTGGCTAGAACACCGTTTGATACAAACATTCATCTAACCAAGAACCACGGAGAAGGTATTTCACAAGTGGAATATGCTCGGGTTATTGGTAGTCTGATGTATCTTATGAGCTGTACTAGGCCGGATATTGCCTATGCGGTTAGTAAACTCAGTAGATATACGAGTAACCCCGGTGCTATGCACTGGAAGGCAATAATAAAGGTTATGAGATACTTGAGGTATACTCGTGATCTTGGACTGCACTACGGGAGATATCCCGCTGTACTTGAAGGGTATAGCGACGCGAATTGGATATCTGATATTAAGGACTCTAAGTCCACGAGTGGCTACGTGTTTACACTAGCCAGTGCAGCCGTTGCATGGAAATCCTCTAAGAAAACTGTGATAGCTAGATCCACGATGGAATCTGAGCTAATAGCCTTGGACAAAGGTTGTGAAGAGGCTGAATGGCTACGCCATTTTATAGAGGATATTCCTAATTGGGAAAGACCGGTACCTCCAAAATGTGTGCATTGCGATAGTCAAGCCACAATTGGGAGAGTATAGAGTCATATGTATAATGGTAAGTCTAGACACGTGCGTCGTAGACATAATACCATTAGACAACTACTCCCAACTAGTGTTGTCTCGATTGACTACGTAAAGTCAAAAGACAATATAGCGGATCCGCTGACCAAAGGGTTAGGCAAAGAAGTTGTGGAGAAGTTGACACGAGGAATGGGTCTAATGCCCTTGGACTAAAAAGTTCTATAGTGGACACCCAACCTAGCTGGCACCTAGTTTCAATGGGACAACTAAATTATGGAACGGAGCGCGTCACTGTGGGGGTCTCGGACTCCCTACCACTCCTCGTTAAAACAGTGACTCCCGCAAGAGGCTAGCATGTTAATGCTTTAATGATTCTTGAGTATGCGGGATACTCGAGAAAGAATCACCTATGTAAGAGAGAAGTGAGGGTCGCTTCAAAGGAGAATTGTTGGGCACAATTCTTTAGAAACTCTCGCAGAACCAGGAACGGTGACCCACGACCAAAACGGGCACACTCGTGAGAGCAAGAGCATGGTTGGGAGATTCCTGTGTGAGATATGTCATCGTCTACACAAACGGCAGTCGGTTCAAAGACATCGCGTTCTACCGTACAGCCAGTAGAGTAAACATGTCTTCACAAGGGAAGGTTCAAAGGGTATAGTGACTCCTTACCTATCCTATGCAGGGATCGACCGTTTGAACACAGTTGTTTCCGATTTCAAGATACCCCGAAAATCAATTTTTCATTCATGTGGGGGATTGTTGGAAAAAATAGCTTAAAATGACATAAAATGGCATGTTAAGTGGCTATTTTGTGGTACAATTATCAGTGGGGTCCACTTTCGATTTGGGTCGGGTCAAAGTGGATTCGGACTCTTCGTAGTGAGACGAAGAGATTGATATATTGTACGCTCAAAACGGATAATGGGTGAATGAGATATTGATTCTCAAAGTATACCCATTTGAGTTGGAAAATGAAGGGAAAAAATGAGCTTTTGTCCCACATTGGTTTGGAAAGAGGATTTGCCCCCATTATATACAAGAGCTCTTTTGAAGCTTGTAGAATTGTATAGCATAGAGGCTCTCTCGCGCGCGTGGGGGGGGGGGGGGGTGCAAATCAAATTCCAACTAAACGAGATTGAAAAAGGCTTGATTCAAGCCCGAGAGTTATGACTGTTATGGGGATTGAATTCATCTGTTACGGAATTAATGTCCTATTAACTCCAAGGCTGTTGGAGAGCCAGCTGAGGGTAGAGGCAGTAGAGAGATACACAGAAAAAGAAAATATAGAACACGAAAGTTCATTTTTTAGCCTCAAAACCTCTTTGCTTCTACTCCTTCTTTAGCCTACTGTGTTCATAACCGTGTCTTGCTCGGCGGATTCCTTGTTTGAGTGCTCAAACATTGAATCACTAGCAAGTTTTATCCTGGAAAGCCTAGGCCACAACGCTCCTAGCATCTTTGGGAGGTGACAAATAAGGTTTTAAGGAAAGAGTGCTCACTTGACTCTTGCAAAAACCCAACACCAAACTCTAGCCATTTTTCTTCATCTTTTCTTCCCTTCTTTCCAGAAAATAATAGTCATATTTTATTTGATTATTATTTGTTTTTCTACCAACGGTTCCTACAGGGAAATCAGAAACTTTTAGGATGATGTGTTTTGCATGCTTGAATTGAAGACAACGATCAAGTGCTCTCTTGTTTGTACTGACTCACAGGTTCCTTATACGAGACTCAGGTTACTAACAAGTCATACGAATATTATTGAATTGCTTTTGGAATTGAAGAACCTTGAAATAGAATGCTAGGAAGTTGAAAATAATGTTGCGAAAGTGATTTCAATATAAGAAAGTGAATAAAATGTGAATTTTCTACTTTACCCCTAAATTTTTAAATATTCTTAAATTTTTCCGTTAGTTTTAACGGCCGGGGACTAAATGCGCCACTTCGCTCATAACTGAGGGACTAAAAATGGAGACGGTCATAACTCAGGGACTGAGTCGTCACTACCATTATAGCTCAGGGACCAAACTCATCATTCTCCCTTCAAGTTATCATAGTAAAGTTGGTAATAATTAGAAAAATGCCACTACATTTTTAAAAATTTTGATATTAATTGTTTGATTTTTCCAGATATAAGGCTGAGATTAATTAGTTCCTATTTCTCTCCGGCCTAAAGACTCTTTTCATTTGATCATATATATATATATATATATATATATAGTAGTATAGTACACACATAACGCACACACTACACACACGTAATGCATCCATGGTGTATGCAACTTCTCACATATTTATGTATTGACTACAACGTGTTTGCTCTTGTCAGAGTGAGAGGAAATAGCTTCTTAATAAAAGCGAAATTTCTTTGTTCCATGGCTCTATCTTGTGTCATTCCTCACAACTTATGACCACTCAAGAATCAATGATCTGAGTTAGCCTTTCGGACAAGTTCCTCTTAGTTGTTTGGATATATTAAACTAGGTAATGATAGTATGTTACGTTCTTGGCATGCATATTTGCTAGTTTTCAATCTGAATTGCTATTCAGAGGATTGTTATCTTCTTCAGTAAGCTCTGCAGCATTCTTTGGAGTTTGGATAATCTTCTTTATAGCAATCAACTTTTCATTACTTACCGGTAACTCAGTTTTGTAACTTCTCTACATCCACCCTTTCCATTGATCTCCAAGAAAGCCAAGTTTTCTACTTTTTTTTTTTTTTTTTTTTTTTTTTTTTTTTTTTTTTTTTTAATTAGATGACTGAAAATATTGTTAAAACATGAGTCTTTCTTCCTCCCTCTAATTAAAAACATTTAGGCGGTGTTTGGTTAGAAACTTTTGTACCCTACTATTAGTTTTGATATTCATTATTATATTTGTTTGTCTACTTTTGTTATCCTATTATTGGAATTAAAACTTTTTTATAATTACTTCTAAACAATGTAATAAAAAATAAAGGAAAAAATGAAAAATAAAAAAGGTAATTGTCTATGCCTTAAATAGGAAGAAGTATCACTAACTTTGTGTAAAAAGTCAATTAGATTCCCAAACTTTTGAAAGTTGCATTTAACACGTTAACATATTAATTTAATGATCCAAAATCCTAATTATGGTCTGTTATAGCAGGTTAGCAGAGGTCCTTCGCAGTTGATCTCTACTCTATATATATATATATATATATATATATATATATATATATATAACTAATTGTATTGACTTTTATTAAATTACTAGCATTTTGTACGCGCGATGCGCGAAAACTTATGCTCAATATTAAAATAAAATACCTAAGATGATCTAGGAAAAACTTATAATTTCATAGCCATATGGCCATATGTTCTAATTAAATTAATTGTTATATAATAATTTTAATAAAATGATAATTAAAAATAGGAATAAGATATGATAGATGTAGGTGTATGGTAAGATTGGTGGACATATTAAATACTAACGGTGTTATAACGGTGTAAGGGTAATTTTGTCCAATACAAATGAAATGTACAACAATTAAAGCAAAATGTATATATTTATTAGCATATAAAAAAGGGACAAAAATCAAGGACATAACTTGCATTGGCACATATTATGTTTTTAGATAGATATTAAATTAAATTGCATATAGAAATAGAGGTAGAGATAGCAGTATTTAAAATTAAGTAACATAATATATATGGGCAACATTCAATCAAATTGACTAAACCATTAAGTTGATAATTATAAAATTTTAAATTTTACTCGTAAAAATTCTTATTCATTCGTCTTTTTGGTTTAATCTAAGTATCATAACTTATTATTCAATTTTAATATTGTCATTCTTATATTGGATAATAATGACTATGGTGGCTAGTAAGTTCGTGTATATCTTTGCATGTCTACATACATAGTATTTATATATTTTCTTACGGACAACCGCCCCCAGATAACTTTTTTGTGCAAAATGTAAAAGATGAAATTACAAATTTAATGATATGAAAATAAGATTCAATTCATTTTAAAAGTCAAAAAATATTGTTGCGATAAACATCATACCGAACAACCGCCCCCGTAAAGAGACTAGTTTATTCCATGTGCTTCCTATCCGATCTGGTAATCCACCATTACCATCCATATATACGCATCTATTTCTTTTAGCTTTATTCTCCCTTACTATATGTAACCTTTAATTTACAGCCCACTCCTCCCCCTTTATTCCTTCCTTAGACCTTAGCTTATAAACGTACGTGTATATAATATTCTTTTTGTCAAATTATGAGTTGTCCTAAACAAATTCATACTATATTTAGATTAATCTTTATTCACATCAGACCGGCTCTATTAAGGAGCAAAATGCTGACTAGATTAATTTTTTTATATAAGACGGAGTTCGAATTCTCGAAATCTCTTAAAGGATGAGAATGCACGGTCATGCACGCCAACCAAACTAGTTACGTGTATATAATATTCGCATGCACATAGTATGTATATCAACCACTCCATTTATTTCTGTCACATATTTACATTCCTTATTAGAGCTATATTTCGTTATTAACCACTCCACAAACCAAACACTTCAATCTCCTTTGCATATATCATTTTGCCACCTTAAGATAAGAATCTATTCCCGGCATTAAAATCTGTCCCGGATATCTCTCCCTCTCTCTCAGATCAATTCTATATTCCATCTCTTGATCAACTTCTCCGATCTTTGTTTCCCTTGCCGCCATGAGCAATTGCAACCAAGGTTTCATCGTCTTTGTTTATTGATTATTGAGGGTTGTTTTTGTTTTAGGAGAATTGATTGTGTTGTTAGTTTGACAGTGGACGTATGTTATTTTGCAGCCACGTGTCCTTTGCCGAGGCCGGAGATGTCGCCGCCAATGATTCCGCCGTTGTTGCAGCCACCGCCGCCACCTCCGGGTTATCCGGTGAGTGATGGTGGCCGAGTTAGTGGTGATGTTTCTACTCCGGGTCGTACTCGGTCAAGGGGTGATGGCTTTTGGAGGGGCTGGTGAGTTTCTCAAATTCTAAGCTTATTTTATCACCAATTTACTAGATAATCTAAAAATTTCACCCAACATTATTTTACTATCGCTGAATACAATTACAGTTAATTGCAACGTGGGTACTTCGATTGTTTTACTTAAGTTCATAACTATTGAAGCACAAAGAGCCTCCATTGAGACTCGACACCATAATCTCCCATAAGAGTAATTGGTGTCATTGGATCACAAGGACCTTGGCTCCCCTAAATATTAAAACATTACTTAATTAGGTCCTTTATTACCATTCTTGTATGTGGACCGCCAAATTCAGTGGCAAACTTATCTTTTCTTCCTCTTCTATGACTCGAATCAACCTCCTTTCTCCAGGAACCCATAATTTTTGCCACTGCAAAGATTGATCGTTCATTTGTATTAGGGATTGCATAGAGGAAAGAAGGGTTTATGAAGTATTTTGACCATGTATTTGGGAATTTTGACTTCTTTTTGCCTTTAAGTTAACTAATTCAATTCAAGTCTTGAAGAGATAGAAAACACAATTTTGCACCTAGCTAGGTTTGATGGTCCACAAACGGGAACGGTAGCAGTCTAACAGAGGACCTAATTACATAATTAACAATTTAGACTTTTAGTGTTTAGAGAATTTTATAGTGTAAAATTTTAGACAAGAAGTCTAATTAAGTAAATGTCCATAGCCGAGGGACCTAATTGGTATTGCTCAATACAACTAAAAGTGTTATTTTGACATATGTTTTATGTTTGAAAGTTTATTTAATAGATGTGATTGATGCAGTTGTGCTGCCTTGTGTTGTTGCTGCCTCCTGGATGCTTGTGTTTGAGCAAAGAAAACTAATACTCTACCAGCAAAGTTGCTTGTATTCTCCTATATATATATATATTTTCTTGGTCCTATATATGTAAGTTGAACTGTGTTGCTTATAATATGGTTGGCAATACTGTCTTCTCCGATTGCTTTTTGCACATTACATATCAGAGATGAATAAGGCTTCCTGATTAGATTTATATTCTATCAATATTATTGTGTACTGCATGTGTTATTAAAAGAAATTTTTTTTTTTTTCCAAATGATTTGTTTGTATTGAACTTTGTTTAATAAATCATACTAAGTGTGGTACAGTTTCATATTCATTCATACAATTAGCTATGATTAAGTTGATCAATCTCATCACTACAATTAATTAGATGAAAGTTGTTGGTCCGGTGGGGGCGGTGGGTAGGGGTTACAAGTCCGGAGGGGTGAATAAACTTGTACGAATTTTGTTTTAAAATAACGATTGGATTTGAAGAAGCCTTGAAGAGTTACTTCTTTGTAACTTCAATGATTCGAGAGTTTTACGCAGCAAAAATAATCCTTGTTAATTAGTTTTGCACATAATTTGTTCTTCAAAGTTTAATGTTTGTGTAAATGATATGCAATAAGTAAAGCAATAATGTAAAAGTTGTCTGTATGGACAACTCAGTTGGTCACACGGGTGAAGTTTAGAAACAATGACCTAGGATCGAGTTTCACTACTGGCAGTGTGAGAGCAACCTCTCAAAGTGAGGGAATTCTTTGTGCACAGTAAGCAAAAGTTTAGCTTCTGTGTTCGCTGAGTTACCATGATTTACGTCTTCCCAGATGTTTTGTCGGGCCAGGGTGGAGGTTTTTCAACTCCTCAATGAGTTTACTCCGCCATATGATGGCCCTTGGGGTTGGAGATTCAATATATTAAAGCCTTGAACTCCACAGGTTTTTCAACTCCTCAATAAGTTTACTCCGTCTCTAGTAGAGATACAAGATATGATTTCTTCAATCTCCAACTAAGAGCTTGGCTTCTTGAATTTGGATCTGAACTTCTTTCGCCGCACAAGTTTCTTGAATATGGATAAGTTCATTTCAACCTTTTCTCCTTTTCACTGGTCTTGCTTGGGTATTGCTTTAAACATTTTTAACACTCATAAAATTTCTTGAATAGACCAACACCTTCATTTGCAGCGAGCTCATAGGGAGGTTTTCATTGCCTGTGACCATTCATCATAATTTTCGTCACCTCGCAGTCGAACTTGCGTGATAACATTCACTATGTTATCATTCGAGTTCAACTCGTAAAGAGAGACAACCATTTTTAATGGTTCTGTTTTCTTTATGTCACCCTCTGCATTCTCTGTGCTTGGTTCTGATGCCATGCATGAGAAATAAAAACACAGTGTAGAACATAAGAAAAGAAAGTAAGAAGGTTTGTTTTCATTGCCAAACCAGTATATACAAATTAACATCCTAGAAAGAAGGAAACTCAAAGATAATATATAACAAGAAAATATTACCAGCTAAATACAAAAGGAATATTACCTAAATAAAAGATAGTTACTAAATATATGAGCGTGAAAATATTCTTCAAAATATTCTCTAATACCATCCTTTAGAGTAAGCAGTCTTGCTAGGTTCAACTAGCCTTTCTTTAATTTTATGAAGGTTGCTAGAATGAAAGAATTATTCTTTGATATATTTTTCTTGATTTTTTTTAAGTGGACATTAGAATTAACATGAGTCTTTTATGGCAAAATGAGAGGCTTATATTGCAATCCATACTATTATTAAAAACAAAATTTTCCTTTCGTGCATTCCCACCCAAACAATAGAAAAAGAAAAATGAAAAAGCAATGGAATTCACTAATTATTACTAATAATAATCAGTAAAAAAAGTCAGCAATAAAAAAAGGGAAATAAAAAATGATCTGTAATTTAGATTAATAAGTTCACTGATTAATACTAATCATGTTAGCAGTAACAAGGAAAAATAAAAAAGAAAACGGAATTCAAATAATAAGGATCTAGAATTAACTTAATAATAATAATAAGGATCCAAAATTGAGCCGTCATAATGTTCGAAAAAATTCTGTAATTCATAATTTTGAATAAAATTACATTATTTGACTATTAAAATTGCACTATAAATATTTTCAAAGCAAAGAACAATTATATCATTGAATATTTTCTATTCTTCTCTGTTATTTTTGTTATTTCTCCATATTGTTTAATAATGGAGTTTGTTTTCGTCTCTGCCTCCGACCTATCCCCAGGACGAGAAAAAGCTCTATAAGGCTCCGATTGATGCGGTGTTACGCTGTTATTTGTCTATGAAATATCAACGCTCTGCGAACAACCAACAAACACTCGAGTGCTTATTTCATGACTCCAGGTGAATTTCTCCCTAATATAGTTATACTTATTGAATATCAAAATATAAGTGTACATCAAGATTTCGCAATAACTGACTAGCAAGTAATTAAATTAATGATATATAACGCAATGCAGATTATCTATATAATGCATTTATACACTTATTTTAGAACATTGAATTTTTGTGATATTGGTTGCATGCAAGGAAGACTCATACTATAGTTTATTTGGCGATTCTTAATATCATATGAAATGGATACTTTGATGAATTATGAAGTATGGGTGGTTTGCCCAATCAACGGTTATGGACATCGCATTTCAACAGTTTGGATGGGCATCATCCCAAAAAGTCATACACTCTATTTGGTAATCTGGAGTGCAGTTTGGATTAACAGTTTAGATATATGATTCATTGTTCCATCTCATACCATTTTTTTTCCTTCAATATATGGATACAAAATGATTGTGGAAAAGAAATAAAATTTTATTCTCTTTTAGACCAAATTAAATTTGATTGAATAATATCAATTCCATTCTTTATGCATTACTATATTTTAAGGTTGTCTTATATTAACTTTCAGCCACTTCATTTTATAATTAAGATTTTTAGTTGTCTTTTATTAATTTTCGATTTTGCAAGAGTGATTTATTGTGAGATTTTTGACAGATTAACTTTATTTTTTCATTTTTAATTTTTCACTAGATTCTTTTCCTCCTAAAATTGTACCATTCACTTTTCTTATTTTATAAAGTTTATCTTTGCTATCATTAAAAGAATATGTTTAATTGATACAAAGTTAATACCAAAAAAAGTAATCTAATCTAATCTAACTCTATAATAAAGCAAGAAAAATTTTCCAATCATTTTTTCCCGCCCATTGGACAAAACGCCGTTGTGCATTTTTATGCAATCATTGTTTCCCGCCCAAGTTAAACTACGTCGTTTTGCAAAAATGTACATGATATAATATCCGGTTCTTTGAATTTGTACGCGTGCCTATTGTCTTTTCGTTTTAGCCGTTTTCTTTATGACAACTCTTCGTATTCTGAAGTGAATATAATTGCTTGAACACTAAAGTCCTTTCGTCTCAAGAAAACCATTTAATGTAGAATACTTGGTACTTTAAACAACATCATTATCATGCTCAGATAACCAATGGTTGAATAAACAAATGGTAACATAATAAAAATAATATATATATATATATATATATATATATATATATATATATATATATATATATATATATATATATATATATATATATATATATATATATATATATATATATATATATATATATATATATATATATATATATATATATATATATAGACACAGACACACAAAGAAGACGCAGAGTTGCATTCTGCAATTAACACATTTTGAAAAGTTGTGTCTTTCCCATACACAAGCGGCTGATCATTCATTTGAATAATGCAACGCTTCAAGGTCTATAAATAATCCTCTTATTGGTGTAAAGTATTCTTGCCACTCGAAAAACTGATTGCTTACAGCCCGATTCTAATATCAGGAAGTTTAACAGAATGCCATCAATGTTCATACTTGTGAAGGACATTAAACCTCAACACCAACTCAGGGCAGTTCGTGTTAGAGCAGTCAGAGTATTCGAAGTGCCAGAGAAACGGGGAGAGGGTAACAGCAGTAAGAGTATGGAAGTACCAATGCATGATGAAGAGGTAATGCTATCTATTTTTGTTCCTTCATCTAACTGATTTCTATTTTTGTCCCTTCATATATCACTAATCTGTGTTTTTGTTTTTCAGGGAAGCTATATTCATGCTAGCATTCTAAAAAAAGATGTGGTGAAATATAGAGAGATATTCAAGGAAGGAAAACTGTACGAAATAAAAAATTTCATTGCTGCGACAAATTATTATGTGTACAAGATTACACAGCATCCATATATGATCAAATTGAACTACAAGACAGAAGTGAAGGAGATAAACTCTTTAGGATTTCCTTTTAAAATGTTTCGATTAAAGAGTTTCAGTTCTTTAAAAGACACTGCAGATGTGAACGACGAGGAACTTATTGGTACTATCTCTTCATTTCTCTCTCTTTTTTTTTTTTTTTAATATCCTATGTTAAGCTGAACTGCTAACAACTTAATGAAAAATTTTCATTTGCCAGATGTTATTGGTCGAGTAATTGAGATCTATAATCCTGTGGATAAGATTATAGGTGGAAAGGCAACCAAACTGATTGACTTTCAGATTGAGGATAATCTGTAAGTACTAATTTATTCCTGTTTTTTTCCTATTAACATCTACTCAGACTTATTTTTTTCTGTTTTTTCCTATCAGTATTGACTTTATTATACTGACATAAATTGGTTTTGGTTTCTACTACTATCATTGCAGTGAGAACACACTGTCATGTACTCTATGGAATGAACATGTTGCATCACTCCTGCCGTATTACAATTGTGATTCAATAGAACCACTCATTGTTGTGATTCAGTGCTGTCGTGCTAAGTTGGTCGGTGGTGAGTTTTTATCCTCCTTCCCATTCTAGCAGCAAATTACTCATTCCAGTCAACTAATGTTTTTTTTTTCCAGGTGAGGTTAGAATCACCAGCTCATATGATGCTACCAAGCTATGGTTTAATGAAGATTTTGAGGAATTTCTAGACTTCAAGTCGAAGTAAGTACACTAATGTAATTCTATAATGTTATCTGTAAGTAAGTTAAGTATTGCATCACATTTTATATAAAAGGCATCAGATTTAATTGCTGGAAGTAATAAGCACTAAGTCAGATTTAAAAACTTAGTATGAAAGGCATCAGATTATAATTTCATCACATGCCTATTTTCTGGAAAAAAAGTTAGTATAAAAGGCAAATAGACAGTTAGGCATATTGGCAAATAGGCCTGAGATTTAACTTTAATCACATTCCACAATAATAAAGCAAGTGAACCTTATTTCAGTTAAGTATGGGCCTGAGATTTGTTTTTAGTCATATGCCAATATTCTGGACCCAAAAAAAGATATTATAAAATGCAAATAGGCAATTAACTAACACACATTACTTACTGTTTTGAGAAATAGGCAGATTAGAATCAATCATTCATGTATTCGCATCATATGTTGAGAAATAGGCAGATTTAAATTTCATACAAAAGTCTGGGCATCAGAATAAAGTTTAATCACATGCCACAAAAATTTTACTGAGTATTTTTATTTCAGTAAATGATGGGCATGGGTATTTATTTTCATCACATGCCAAATTTCTGGAAAAAAAAGTTAGTATAAAATGCAAATAGGCAATTATCAAACACCAATTACATGTTTTTTTTTTGGCAAATATGCATATTACAATCAGGCCACTTTGTTTCATTTGTTCAACTATTGGCATACTTTTATAATATTTGTTCACATGCCAAATATCTGCCAGTCAATATAATGCATGATGTTGCTAATCACTGTTTTTGTTTAAAATGTTTATGAAGTATGAAATCTGAAAAAACTCCCATGAAAAGTTTGAGTACGGGGACTCTGCACTCACAGGATTCTGGCATTAGTGACTTTAAAAGTGGTGGACTCATTGTGACTACCTGCGACGACCTTAAGAAGACATGAGTGGTAAGAAACAGAAACTACTTTATTGACTGTTTATTTAAGATCTGAGTTCCTATGTGTGTTCTATAATTAATTTTTTTACCACTGTAGGATGGGGAATACTATGTTGCTGCTGAAATCTTGGGTTTAGATCTTGATGATGGGTGGTACTATGTGTCATGCATGTCAGCTGGCTGTAATAAGAAATTAAAAGAAGATGGAGGATCACTTGTGTGCACTAAGTGTCATAAGCCATATACTATGGGTACGGTCAGGTATAAGGTGGTCATCATTGCTTTAGACAAGAGTGGAGATGCTCCACTATTGCTTTGGGACAGAGAAGTTGCTGAGCTGGTTGGAATTCCTGCATGCCTATTGTATCAGAAATACAAGGAGGTAGATTTATTAGTACTTACATGAACCTATGTTTTAGTTGTAGATGATCTACTGTAATGTACTAACTCAATCCCAATGGCAGACTGGTGTTGAAGTACCCCCCGAGTTGGATGCTATTGTGGGAATGAAGATGTTGTTTAAAGTAGGTTTAAAATTGGCTCTAAGGCGGGGTAAAAATTCTCCTTTCAATGTGTTGAGGCTGTTAAGGGACGAACATTTGGTCCAGACTTATAGTGACAGGTTTGTCGAGCATCAAGAGCAAGATTTAATCTCAAAGATGCTTGAGGAGGAAACAAACAGTGCAGCGAATTCTGAAGTAAGAATTTCTTACTTAACCTAGATCTATGTTTTTCATTTTTTTATTACCTACTACTAAAACTTACTAATCCATTGTTTTATATACAGGAAGCATCTATAGAAGTAGAGGTTAATAGTCTTGCCTCTATGCAGCCCTCTCAACATGAACCTGATGACACTATGGTCAACTCCTTAGCTACCAAAAGGTCACTCTTGGATGAGTTTTCCTCATCCAAAAGTCGCAAGAGAACAACAGCCCCCAACATCAAGAAGGAGAAGACAGCTTGAATGAACTTCTACTGTGGAAAAAATAATTGTTACTGTTTTTCGGATGTAGACAATTTGATACAATGTTTTTGTGACCTCTGCCTGATGGATTTTTAATTTGTTGTCCTACTAATTCAACGGCTTTATTTTTTTTGTTTGCTAAGGTTGAAATGCTTTGTTTTATTTGATATAACTGTGTTATGATAATATTACATCTCAAATTGACATATCGTATTAGAAAATGTCTTGCTATTTTCTTCACTTCGATTTCAGGTGATTTTCCAGAAATGGTGTAGAAGGGAAAACCAAGTTGACAAGCATAGGAACAAAATGTAAGGCCTTAAAATCTAACTACTGCTAGGTATTTGTAACATGAACCTACCAACAGTGTTGAAGTTTGCCAATTTACATAGTTAGAGTTTTCAATCACCTAAACTCCCTATTTTCATACTTTTTCTTTTCAGGTGTGTTACAAACAAGAATGATCCACTCACAAGTCATTAGAAAGAAGGGATCTGGGACAAGTTTTGTATATCACTGATCTGTATTTTGTTTTGTAAAGTGTACTAGGTTAAGTAGTATACTTATACTATTCTGTAAAAATGCATGCTTTTTAATCACATGCCAAGTTTCTAATAAAAAAAAAACATTAGTATAAGTGCAAATAGGCAATTAAGTAACACACATCCCATGCTTTTTGTATTACACAAGTGTGGGCATCAGATTAAACTTTAATCACGTGCCACAACAAATTTTACTGAACATTTTTATTTCAGTAAACTATGGGCATTAGATTTTTCTTTCATCATATGCCAATTTTCTGGACAAAAAAAGTTAGTAAAGAATGCAAATATGCAATTAACTAACACAGATTACATGCTTTTTTGGCACATAGGCGTATTACAGTCAAGCAAGAAATTTGAGGAAAATAAGCATACTAGAATACATATGCTTCTGAATTTAGTAAAGTATTAACTTATAAGATTTGGTAAAATGAAAGTAATACAAACATTTAAGCAAAAAAAAAAAAAAAAAAAGACCACATTTCCTGAGAATAGTATAAGTATTTCTACTTAAGCATGCAAGCAATACATTTAATTGTATGTAAGACATATAGGACTACAGTTACAGCTATACCACTTAGAATTTATTTTTATATAGTTAGTAAGCGTACCTTAATGACCTGCTAAACACTGAAGCATTCTCTCCACATAGATACTTTCCCGTTACTTTCCAGATTTGCTAAACATCACAAAAGCATTCCCTCCACTACAAATACTTTCCCGTTCCTTTCTAGATCTGCTAACCCTCACAAAAGCTGCCTCTCCACTGCAAATATTTCCCCGTTGGATTTCCTGTGCAAGTATAAAGTCCATAGTTTTATATAAGTATTAAAACTCATCATTGCAACTACTGAAGTATTTGGAAATATATCTGTCTAAAGTACTAATATTCAGTGTTACTTCATAAGTCTTTCTTAAAGAATGAGAATGTAACAAGTTATGCAACATTGAAAGTTCAAGTGGTCGACCAAATAATCAAAATGAAGCCTAATATATACTGTGTACTTACGTTTATAAAGTGAATAAAAAAAAAAACAAATGCTGTAATTCCCCTCAATTAAAGGCAGAAAATTATACAAATTTACTGACTAGAGTATATTTGAAAAAGACTAATTTTCAGTTTGTATAATGTAAAACAAATACAAGGGTAAAATTCAATCAAAGTTTGTCTTACTATTGCTTTAATGTGTGCAATGACCAAAATTACAAAATATATACCATCATGGGCATAACAACTATTGAAAATACACCAAATCAAGTATATAATGTGAACCTAATCTGTGAGATGAACGACCTTCATTCTTCGTCGTCTACATGCTCGCTTTTGGGTTATTATCTGCTCTCAAATGCCTCTAAGTCATCATTTATTTGCCTATATAAAAAAAATGGAACACAGACATTATAGCTTCTGTTAATAACTGCAAACAAATTTTTTTTGGTAGCAAATTAAAAGAAGTAATTAATACAACATAGAAGGTGTGTGAAACTAACAGTTACTCATTGTTATTGAAAAAAAACAATGATTTGGATATTAAATATAACAAGTAATTTTTACTATCATTACATAGGATAAAAAACCCTTCATTTCCAGTGCGGATATCAAGAAATCAAACAGTTAAATTACTTCAGCAAAGCAGTCAGACAATTTCATAGCTCATACAACACATTATATTCAAAACTTCTGTTTCAGCAAAAAAAAATAGACAAGCTAATGAGGCAGATTACCAAGTCAACTATTCTAGGCATCAAAAGGAAATCACAGGAAGAAAACAAAGGTATTTTTGAAACTTATCTTTTTCAGAGTTGCAAATCCCGCTAAAATGAATTCAACAGTCTGCTTAGCTATTTTGTATCTGCTATAGATTGCCTCTCATTGCTCCAAAGTATTGTCCTCTCAGTTTATATGACAAAAAAATTGAACCAGTTAACCAAGTTGTATGTTTAATACTACAATTACATGTTTTACAAAATGAAATTCTAACATTATATATACGAAATAGTCACAGTTCTATAGATTAACAGTAAAACGAAATCAACTTATAACCACAGCTAATATGAATCATTCAGACGATATAGGCATAGGCGAGTATCGCGACCTAGACGCGATTTGATAATAAATGTACAAATTCTGTGGCCGTGAAGAGATGAAGGCAAAAGAGTCATAGTAGGATGATGTAGGTAGAGGATTGAGAGAGAGACCGTGAAATTGTTGAAGAGATTTTGAGCTATGAGATCTGTTCGGACAAAGAGAGGAGAAGGCTGTCAACGCTTCTCCTCATCTCTTATCTCTTCTCAATTGGACCGAAGAAAAATAATATATATATATATATATATATATATATATATATATATATATATATTTATTTATTTATTTATTTATATTGTAATGTTCAGTAATTTATTTCATAAGGTTAGGCTGTTTTATAAAAATTACAAATCTATGTTCTAAAATATTAAAATAAGTTATGTTATGTGTATTTAATTTATAAAATAGATATTTATGATATATAATATTTAATTATGGTTTTATTCGTGGTTCACGGTCAATTGTAGTCCAAGGTACACAACATTTTTTGGTCCATGGACCACCATGTAATTTGCCTTTTAATGTGTGTCTTACTGACACTAATTACATGAATATGTTGTACCGGGTTAAAATTGTAAGGGCGTTATGTGTACCAAAATCTGAATAAATTTTAAAATACGAGATTTTGATTTTTATGATAATGTTACTCATTGTCCACACAAAATTGTCCAGGATGATCCGTTGCATAAATTTTAATATAATTTATGCCTTATAATTTCTGCCTTTTCAATTATAAAATTGTGTAGACAAAAATTGAAATTAATTATGTGATGTGTAATTAATTGGTAAACTTTCGAATTTTTTTAATTTATTATGTTATGTGTACTTAATTCATAAGTTTGCTACTTATGTTATTTTAATCTTCTGAATAGTACATATTATACAGTAAGTTGATGGAACAACAAATATTTTGTCTTTTAATTTTAACGTTATTTATATCATTTACAAGTTTATGTGGTTCAATTTCAATTTTTTTAGGTTATGTGATATGAATTTATATAATGTCATAATTTTTATTTTTATAATTTGTTATTCTATTTCACAGAAAATACTTGCTTGACTTCCTCAGCAACAAATAATGATTCGCATAATATAGAGCAACCTACAACATTGCGTCGAACACGACCTTCAATTGCAGGGTGTTTGACTGAAAATATCACACCATTGAGTAACATCACAAATGGTAAATCATTTACAATTGAGTGATATACATTGATTGTGAATGTACATATCCTGTTTATTATATTATGGATCGAATATTATTGTCAAATTATTTACTTGTATTAATCTTATAAGGCATCTTTACGTTTATGAATTATATATGATTACAGTAGGTTCTTCCCAAACACACGTAATTTCTTCCAACCGGCAAGGAATTTTTCTTGAAGTGAAACAAAACACAATATCAACCATACCTGAGTCTTGCTTAACTGGTAACGTCGTAGACTAATATGTTATATAATCTTAAAACATTTAAAAGATATGTATATTTGTTAATTTGATTATTGTATTAAATTTAGGTTGTAGATCACCACGTCAAGTTCATATTGGTAAAACAATACATGGTTCGACAATTGAAGAAGGACATGTAATTCAAAGAGATTTGCTATCAGCCTTTGAAGAGGAGTCTGTCCCTTTACGTCTACAAATTCGCAATAACGCCATACCAGGTAAAATTACTAACCAAATATGTTTGTAACGAATTATACTAAACTCAAATTGAACGCTTTCATCCAGTTCATATTCATTTATAGTAATGTTTATATATTCAGATTTAAACATTCCGATTGACGATGAGGAATCTATCTCTTTACGCATCCCAATGCCAAACCCGTGCATACCAGGTACTCTTACGACCTGTATCTTTTCGTAACGAACGCTACCATAGTCAAATTTAACACTTGCACATTCTATTAGTTAATTATATTTTTTTGGTTCGTATACAGATTTAAACATAACAATTGCCGATGAAACGCATAACTTCGATACCGGAACATCCTCTGTTCATGCAAATGGTATTTTTGTTCGTATACATATTTAAACATAGCGATGCATGTACACTTTTTATGGAAGAATATTTAAACAACAATTTGTTTGCAGAAGAGTATTATGATTTCGGTGATGCAAGCAATAGTTGTGTCCATTGTGGGGCGTTGTTTTGGTTCGAGGAAAGGAAGAAAAACTATTCCTCTAAAGGTCCAACGATGTTTCCATTGTGCTGCAACAATGGCAAGATTAAGTTACAGGAGAATGCGTTGCCACCTAAAGGTATATTTGAGCTATTTTTCGGCAATGATGAATTATCAAAAAAATTCCTCCAAGACATTAGAACATACAACGCCATGTTTTGCTTCACATCAATGGGCGGAAAGATAGACAAGAGCTTGAACAAGGGTGGAGCACCAACGGTGTTCAGGTTAAGTGGTCAAAACTATCACTTAATGGGCGGCCTCCTACCAGAAGACGGAAAAGAACCACATTTTGCTCAGTTGTACATATACGATACGGCAAATGAAAAGAACAACCGTATAAAGGCTGTGAGGTAAGCATAGAACTTTTTTTCCTATTAAAATGTGATGTTTTATCTATCAGCTTAGCAATTCATTGATGCGTGATTGTAGGGGTAGAGTTGATCAAGATGACATTCACGTAGAAATAGTGAATGTCATTCAGAAGGAGTTGGACCAAAATAATGTTTTGGTTCAGTCTTTTCGGATGGCTAGATCTGAGCTTGATAGTAACCCATGCGCTGAAGTCAAAATAAAGTTATTGGGGAAGTGCACTAGAGATGCAAGGACATACAACCTGCCTCAAGTGTCCGAAGTAGCAGCTTTAATAGTTGGAGATCTGGATACCAGTATTGGTGATCGTGATATTGTTGTTCAAGCTAAAGGTGGGCAATTGCAAAGAATTAGTGAATTAAATCCTTCATACCTCCCACTACAATACCCCCTGTTGTTTCTATATGGTGAAGATGGATATCGGGAAGACATTGCATTCTCTAACGTACATAGCATTCGTTCAGCTGGTGGTTAACAGAGGATTAGTCCTAGGGAGTATTTCTGCTATCGGTTACAGACAAGAGGTTCTATTACCACATTGCTATTTGCAAAGCGCCTGTTACAACAGTTTGTGGTAGATGCATACACGATAGTGGAGTCTGGAAGACTCATTTATATCAGGACACATCAAAAAATCTTAAGATGTGAATCATACAGTGGATTGACTGATGCTTTAACCAGGGGTGAAGTAAACCCTGCAGCACAAGGTCGAAGAATAATACTACCCTCAAGTTTCATAGGTGGTGCTCGGTACATGATACAAAACTACAAAGATGCCATGGCAATATGTAGATGGATTGGTTATCCAGATTTATTTATAACATTTACATGCAACCCAAAGTGGCCTGAGGTACAACGTTTTCTAAAAGATCGCAGGTTGAAAGCCGAAGATCGACCTGACATAATCTGCCGTTTGTTCAAGATGAAGTTGGATTCTTTGATTGCTGATTGTCGAAAGAATAAACTTTTTGGCTCTGTTGCTGGAGGTAATATTTTAGTTTCAGTTCACATTCTTGTGTTTACAATTAAGAATAATTACCATACATTGATTTTTTTGGGGTTTCTGTTACAGTTATATATACAATTGAGTTCCAAAAGCGGGGTCTCCCTCATGCTCATATGTTGCTTTTTTTGGGAAAGAATCAAGACGTTAGTGATGTTGTTACGCTAGATAAGATAATTTCTGCAGAGATACCAGATGAAAAGACAGATGTGTAATATTACAAAGCGGTGGAGGAATTTATGATGCATGGGCCATGTGGAAAAGCAAGGACAAATTCTCCCTGTATGGTAAATGCACGATGCTCGAAACATTTTCCTAAGAGATTTGTTGAGAGTTCTACATTTGATGCTGATGGATACTCGGCATATAGAAGGAGAGACAACGGCAATATAGTTACAAAGAACGGGATCGCATTGGACAACAGGTATGTTGTACCACACAATAGACATTTATTGCTTAAGTATAAGGCTCACATAAATGTGGAGTGGTGCAACCAGTCACGCTCAATCAAGTACCTGTTCAAGTACGTTAACAGGGTCATGACAGAGTAACTGCAGAATTCTACAACACAACCAGTGATGAAGAAAAGGGGAAAGCAATAGATGAGATCAATATGTACTACGATTGTAGGTACATATCACCATGTGAAGCAGTTTGGCGTTTGTTTGGTTTTGATATACAGCTTAGGGCGCCTTCAGTTGAAAGGTTAAGCTTTCACCTTCCAAATCAACAGAGCGTGATATTTTCAGATGACGATCCTGTCGAGAACATTGTAAATAGACCAACAATAGCACAAAGCATGTTCTTAGAATGGTTTGAAGCGAATAAAACTTTCCTAAATGCAAGAGAGCTAACTTATGTTGAAATGCCCACAAAATTCGTTTGGAAGAAAGATATCCGAAAATGGCAACCAAGGAAAAAAGGTTTCTCAATTGGTCGGATATTTTATGTTCCCCCAGCTACTGGCGAAATATTTTATTTGAGGTGTCTCTTGAATAAAATACATGGGCCTACAAGTTTTGAAGATATCAGGACTGTAAATGGTGTCATCTATGACTCATTTCGAGACGCGTGTTATGCAAGAGGTTTAGTTGATGATGATAACGAATATGTTGATGCAATTGAAGAAGCCAGTCATTGGGCGTCAGCAGATCAACTGAGGAGACTATTTGTTACATTGCTAATGAGCAGTTGCATGGGTAAACCGGAAAGTGTTTGGTATGCTGTGTGGCCACATTTGTCAGATGATGCACAATTCCATATCCGGAAACAATTGCACAATAGAGGTACTCATACATTCCACCACTACTTTTCGTTATATTTACATCACCATATAAAGTTAACTTAAATGTAGGGATGTTAAATATTAAATTCTATATAACCTTATGCAGATTTTGTGTTGACCGATTCGCACAAGATGAACTTTGCTTTAGTGGAGATTGAAAAACTATTATCTATTCATGGAAAGAGTTTGAAGGACTATCCTGAAATGCCTGCTGCAAGCTGTACCGCATTACATATTATATCGAACAGGTTTATACAGGAGGATTAGCATACGACTATGTGGAACAAGAGAAAGGATCATCCAGCCTCGGAATCCCAGTAGTTTGCGACATTGGCGTAGAGCTCCGGCAGGGGAATAGGAGCTGGGAGAAAGTGAACCAATGGTCGATGACCAATCCATGAGTCGAGCCAAAAAACGCGTATTCTTTCCATTTTTCACCTGTTTTCGGACTCCTTGCAGAAGAATATTACTGGCATTCACGATTCCTTTCCAAGCATTTGAGCTTCCGGGCTTGTTCTGCCAGGTATGGGGGTCATTGTTGAATTTGGTGTATTTTGCGTTCATTAAGTTTATCCATAGGTTGTCCTCCTATGCATGTAACCTCCACCCGAGTTTGGTTAAGAACGCTTTGTTCAGCGCCCCCAGCCTCCTAATACCCATGCCACCCAACTCATTCTCAAGAGTCACCGTGTCCCAAGCCTAGAACGTCTATGCTCCTCGGTCGAGCCCCAAATGAAATTGCGAACCATTCTTTGCAGCTGTGTGATAACCCCAGTAGGGAGGTAGGTCGTTTGCATTGTATAAGAGGGGATGGCTATTAGGACAGCCTGGGCTAATACCCTTCTACCTGCTAGAGAAAGAGATTTGGCCTTCCATCCCGATAATCTGCCCTAAACTTTATTTAGCAGGCTAGAAAACGTTTCATTTTTCAATCTGACATGGAAGGATAGAATTCCCAGATAGTTTCCCAGGTTGTCAGTTCTAGGAATACCAAGAACCTCCGAGATGGCTAATTGCTCAATAAACTGCGTGTTCTTTGAAAAGAAGACTTGGGACTTTTGAAAGTTTACCTTCTGACCAGAGTGAGTGCAGAAGAAGTCTAACACCCGTTTGATTAGCACCGCCTGTTGTAATGTAGCTTTCGCAAAAAGGAGCATGTCATCCGCAAAGAACAAGTGTGTCACTTCCGGTCCATTCCTTGTTATCTTTATGCCTTTCCAGCTCTTTGAGGTTACCTTCTCATTGATCAGATGGCTCAGCCGCTCAATATATAGGACGAAAAGGAGGGGCGAGATGGGATCGCCTTGACGGATGCCTCGGGTTGGTCTGAACCAGTGGGATCTCTTTCCATTACACTGAACTGCTAATCGGGAGGTTGATATGCATGACAGAATGTTCCTAATCCAATCTCGGTTAAATCCGATTAGTTCTAGAGTGGATTTTACAAAGTTCCAAGACAGCCTATCATAAGCTTTCTCAAGGTCGATCTTGAGAATCATCCAACCGGTTGTGCCTCTTTTGGTTTTCATCGAGTTGAGTACTTCTTGGTAAGCTAGGATGTTGTCTGAACACTGCCTTCCCGGTATGAAGCTCGTTTGGTGACTTCCAACCAATTTTCGCATAGTTGACTTTAGTCTTGTGGTCATGATCTTTGTTAGAATCTTGTAAACAATATTACAGAGCCCAATCGGCCTCAACTGTTTCACCGAGTCTGGGGACGGGACTTTGGGTATTAGGACCAGGATGGTGTCATTACATCCTTCTGGCATCACTCCATTGATGAAAAATGACGTTGCAAATTTGAAAATGTCTTTCCCTACTGTGCTCCACGCTTTTTGAAAAAACCCCGCATGGAAGTCGTCTGGCCCTGGTGCTTTGCTCGGGGACATGTCAAATAGAGCCTCTTTTACCTCCTCCGGAGAGACAGGTGCATTAAGTCGGCACCAAATTGCTTGGTGGAGGATCGGGAACTTTCCTGGAAATACTCCTTGGACGGCTACATTATCATCTGAAAATAAATCTTCAAAATACCTGCAAACATGGTTAAGAATTAGATCTTCATCCATAATCCAATTACCTTCGTTATCCTTTAAACTGCTAATTCTAGAACTTCCCATTTTTGACTGTCGTAGCGATATGGTAGAACCTTGTGTTTCGATCACCCGAAACTATCCAATTCTCCCTGATCTCTGGAACCACAGCAACTCCTCTTGATAGAGGATATCCTCCAGTTCTTTGCGTAGTTTCTTGTCCAATCTAAGCAGGTTTTGGTTAGTGTGGCTAGTCAGTCTTCTTTGGACCCCATCAATTCGGGCTAAGACCTTTTTTTTTCCTAATGAAAATGTTGCCAAAGACTGACTTGTTCCAGTCTGATAGCTTATCTGCCATGTTGGTCTTACTGGTTTCCAAGTTCTCCCCAGCTTCCCAGTTTTGCTGAATAAACTTTAGAAACTCAGGATGTGTTGCCCAAGCCGCATTGTATTTGAACTGTTTAATCGTAAAACTTGATTTAGGAGGCTCCAATCTGATTAGTAATGGACTATGATCCGATGATATTCTTGGCAGGTGAATAACATCTGCATCCGGGAATTGAAACCTCCAATCCATGTTGCATAGTGCTCTATCGAGCCTTGCCCCCTTAAAGGTAGTGTGAATTTGTCCCCTCACCCATGTAAATTTTGATCCAGAATAACCAAGATCTAACAGTCCTTATTTATTGATCCATTCCGTGAACCCTGCACATCTAGCTAAAGAGAAGCTGCCAGAATTAGAGGTTTCATTGCTACAAGTAACGGAGTTATAGTCGCCAGCCGAGAGCCAGCTACCGCATGAACTCAGCTCGCAACGAGAGAGTTCTGAAAAGAGCTCCCTTCGAAGGGACACGTGAGGACTACCATAAACTAAAGACAAAAACCATGGTTGTGAGCCGACTTTGTCAACTCTTACATTGATAAACTGGGGATGGGTGGTGAGGATGTCAATTGAGACAGAGTCTCTCCAGAACACCCAAATGCCACCCGAGAACCCAAAGGATTCTACCCTAAGCCAATCATCAAAACCAATTCGAGAGCAAATGTTGTCGGCCTGGACCCCAGATACTTTTGGCTCCAGTAAACAAAGAATAATAGGCTTATACACAGAGAGGAAATTCATCAGTGTACGGAAAAACTTTCGTGATGCTGCCCCTTGACAATTCCATACGATTATATTCATAATAAAATAATGGGAAAGGAGGGAGCTCAAAGGAGCTCCTGGGGATCACCATCAAAGCCAAATTGGCTTTGGACACCCTCAACATCATCCATAGCACAATCAAAATAGGCAGCCCCATCTTCAAGAGGGTTCCCTGGGCGACGGTCACCTGGATCGATAGGGGATCCAATAAGGATCCCTTTACCGCGGTGCTGCATAGTGGTTCTAGTAATTGATTTCCCTCCATTATAGCCTCTAACCACCACATGGTCGACCTCAGCAGCCGCTCTCCTAGGAGTGTTGATTGAACCGGAATTGCCACCCCGCAGATGTTGTGATCTTGGCTGCCTTACCCTGTCTTGGTTTGGTGATATGGGATTAGAACCTGGTCTTTCCATAGTGCCTTTGGATGACATCCTTGAGGTGACAATGGGTCTAGGTCTGGCTGATTGGTCTTCAGTATACTCAACAGCTTGGTCGGCCGGTGTTTCACCCCTGGGATCCTCGCCTAACCCATCAAGAGGTGCAAAGCGTGTGTTGAAAAGCTGATTCTCGTAAATCTTTGAAGCCCCTCCAGACTTGTTCTTGGGTGGTGATTGGCCATGGGGCTGTCCACCTCGATTAGGATTTCTTCGTGGTTGTCTTCTTTCCTTCCACGTGACTAACATCCATGAACCATAGTCATCCGCTAGGGCTACCTTCTTCGCTTGTGGTTTCTCCATTAATGGTGGTTCAAACAGTTGATCACCTTTTTCCAGATTGGGTATTGCGACATCATCCGCCTCTTTATCAGTTGTCTTCTGCTCTTTTCCTCCTAGTCCACATTGCTCTCTCTTGTGTCCATACACACCACACTTGAAGCAGACTAAGTGGAGGCCTTCATATTCAATCGGTACTTCTCCATGGCTATAGTGAATTTCGATCTTAAGGGTTTTGTGATGTCGACTTCGACGCAGATTCGGGCAAATTTTCCCCTTGTTGATAGGGAAGTTGTATTGTCGATCTTTACTGGTTCACCAACACTCTTGCCTATTTTCCAAAGGAAGTCATCATCAAAGTACTCCATTGGGAGAGTTGGGAGCCTTACCCATGCCAAAATTTTCTCTGTTTTGTTCGACGCCGGATTAAAATTCGGCACCCATTGCTGCACAATTACGTAGTGGTCCAATATCATCCATGGTCCCTCAAATCTTGCAAAGTCATAATCCCATTCGGATTCAAACCTGGCTACGTAATAGTCGTATTCCAAGTCGATCAGGTCCATGCTTGCCTCCGATCTCCGTAGCGTCTCAAGCCGCCGGCGGAGGTAATTATAGCCAACCGTTCGTCCCAACACTCGAATGATAAGGGAGCACCGCCATGGGGCTCTTAGCCTTCTTTTTTCTTCCTTTGTGACTGGGATTCTTGGACATAGAACATCCTCCTGCATGTCGTCGTCTTTGTCATCGGAGACTTCTTGGTCATCAACTTCCTTCTCGGCTGCCTTTGCCCAGGGCTGATTCTTCAAGATTTGGCTATAGGCCGGACGGTTGCCCAGATTGACCTCCAGAGGGCGATTTGACTCCGTGTTCTTGATAGGATTCTGGACCGTGTCATGATCCATCATCCCCCCGCTATCCTCCAGTCGAGATTCAGACCGTTTCGTCTTCTTCGATGTCCGTTCAAGTGGTTCTTGAACTTCCGATTCCGTCTGGCCGGTGTCTAGCATAACAGGTGTCGAGAGCATATTTTCTCACAGAAGTGTAATATTACTTGCTGGAGTGAAATCGAAGAAGTTTTAGTCTTTGTAGCAAAGGATTGTGTTGTTTTTAAGAGTTTTTTTTCGCTATCTTTGTTGTCGTCGCGGGAGGGTTTTGGGAGGAAGAAGACGATTTCTACCTTTTTGAACGTAAAGTTTGTCGATAATGCCCTTCGCGTGTTTGGTTTGATGATATTTTGTTGTGTAGTTACAATTTTGCCACTGCGTCCTAAGCAATAGCAAAGCCGTTGATTTTAGATGATTAATGGCCCTGATCTATTAGCATTTTGTTCCTGGGCAGTTATTCGCACAGGAGTGCGGCCCACTATATACGTATACTTTGTCCAATCGTTATACCGTGCACTAGGGCGCACATAGCAATGTGCACAGGAAAAAGTCCAAAACGACGTTGTTTTAGGCCAGAGCTCACAATGGCTACTTTGCACGGTATAATTTGCGTTACCTTACCTAGGGTTTCATTTTGAGTTTGGCAGAGAGAGAAGATGGTCAAGTTTCTGAAGCCAAACAAAGCCGTGATCTTCCTGCAAGGGCGATACGCCGGCAGAAAGGCGGTGATCGTGAGGTGCTTCGACGACGGCACTCGCGACCGTCCCTACGGCCACTGCCTCGTTGCCGGGATCACCAAGTACCCGAAGAAGGTGATTCGTAAAGACTCCACCAAGAAACAGGCGAAGAAGTCCCGCGTCAGGACCTTCGTCAAGCTCGTCAACTACAACCACATCATGCCCACTCGCTACACGCTCGACGTCGACCTCAAGGACGCCGTCACGCAGGACTGCCTCCAGTCCCACGACAAGAAGGTCTTCGCCGCCAAAGAGGCCAAAGCCCGGTTTGAGGAGCGGTTTAAGACTGGGAAGAACCGCTGGTTTTTTTCCAAACTCAGGTTTTGAGTTAGATTCGGTGTTTACTGCGTTCTCCAAATTCTTTCAATCATATATTTTTAATAGATTGTTGAATTTCAATTATAAGCTATGAACTTAATTGGTAGTATTTCGTAGCTTTGTTTTGCTCTTCGTTTGATCATCATCTCTAAATGCCATTGTGATGGAATTGAAGGTTTATTCATTATAGCTCTGTTTCACGGCTTTCTTCATTCCATTTTCACAATTGTTCTTGTTATTGGAACTGTTGTTTTGGATTCATTTGTCAGTGCTTTTGAAAATGCAACTTAAATAACCTTATTCATGTAGAGCTATGTTGGTGTAGTTGGCAAATGATTTTAGAATAATCCTTGAAATTTCCTTTCTTGGCATCTTGCTGTAGTTTTAACATTTTAAACTATATATATATATATATATATATATATATATATATATATATATATATATATAAAATTTATGTTTGCCAACCTATTGAAATTTGGTTTCCGGTCAAGGAAATATTACCTAATTTGATACGTAAGTTGGCTCTTGAGTGTAGTTCGATGGAGGAATGTGATCTATTTGTGATAGAACTTTTTGAATTAGGAAATAGGGAAAACACAAGATGGAAAGCATGGGGTTTGTATTGATAGCTATCATATGTGCTTATGTTCATGTAATTGTTTGTCAGCTAAAGTTTGGTTAACCTCACAATCTTTAGCTATAGCTTTTGAAATTATAACCTGATGATATAATTCGAATTGCTCCAGAAAGCAGATTTATCTCACTTTTTATGAAACCTAGTACTTGTAGCCAATTTGTACATTAACTGGAGAAGTTGTTCCAGGTAGATTCTCTTCATAAGAAAGGATTGAGAATTATGATTAAGGGTGTGTTTGGAAACTAGGAAAATGACTTTTGGAAAATGAGTCTCCTTTCAAGTGTCTGGTTGATTCCAGAAAATTTTCTTGGTGTGTTTGGTTCATTTTTCAGAAAGTGAGTTGCTGAAATATGTTGTTTTAAAAACATTTTAGAGAATGGTGATAACACTTTCTCAGTAGCACTGATAATAGTCTATGACTATTGCCATGCTTATTTCTTCTCTATCAGAGCAGCCATTGTTCAGTTTTAGACATACCAAATGTGTGTGTGAAAATGTGAAATAGGTGAAATATCCTGAGTAGCTATACTCTGCTGCATTCTCAAGTTGTACTTTTGGTAAGGTGCTTACATTGGGTTTGAAAGAAAATAAAAGGCGGGGGACGGGCTGAAAGGCTGCTCATGCCACTAGGATTTACATCCTCAAGTGACTCTTGGGGTGGGGAACCAGAGGCTAATATTAGTTTGGCATAAGCTAAGGAACCTATGTATTAAAAAATAAAAGACATTATAGCACGTATGGTCCATGGAAAAGGTTTTCTGCCATCAACTAACCATTTTTTTTTTTTCAAATTAGAGAATTGGTTTTAATAGTTATCCAATTTTTCGAAAAATAGAGAAATGGTCTCTATTTCCTAATTTGAAAAGTCAAATGACAGGTACAGATGTTCTTCCTTTTCTATTTTATTATTTTTATTTTTAAACTGACTCTGTTTATCAAACAGAGTCAGTCTTGGATAGCCAGATCATTACCAACATCAAAGAAGCTTCAGGTTCCTCCAATGAATTGAGCTTCAATCTTGTAACACAATTTGCGATTTAAGTTTCTTTTAGCATTGCTAGGAAAGTTGTTTCTATGTCTGACTGTAAAGAATGTTTTATCATTCTATTATTGATCTTTATTGTAACTGTTTCAACTTATGATTAATGAATTAGCTCTTTATTTTCAATATATATATATATATATATATATATATATATATATATATATATATATTATTAATAAACGCATCATTCAGTTTTTAATTGAAATGCCATGCCTAGAGAATCTATAGCAATGAATTCTTTTTTTTTTCTCCTTTTCTCTATCTTCCAACTAAGGATGCAAAAAGTCCAAGAGAAAATTACAATTATTGTGGTTGCTCTTAGATCTGTTGAATATAAAACTAATAACAATATCTCACTTGTGTAAAAACACAAAGGCCGAAGGATATGATGGTTAGTTTATCCATATTTATGCAATACCCTCTAAAATTTAAAAGTTGGTCAAATTGTTATACCATCATATTTACAATCATCCCTATTCATTTTACATTTATACAATTCTAATTTACTTATAGAAATAGATCCACTTTCATTTAAAAAAAGAAAAAAAAAAAAAAAAGACAAACCAATGGATGATCTACTTGACAAGACACTTGTAAAATGAATAAATCTTATGTGAGATTGTCTCAAGTAATATGTATAATATTTTTAGTTAAAATATAATACTTTTTAATAGATTTATAGAAAATTATTACATTTAAATTAACATTTCACGTGAAATGGTCTTACATAATTTATATTCTTGTAAAATAAACTTACATAAGAGCAACTCCATTTATGATTTTTTTAAGGGTTTTTACAGCTTTTGTGTACAAGTGGAGCTTGTAATTGAAGATTACATGCAACGCGAGTGCCACAGTTACTTCAATATGTATTCTCTTGTGATGAGAATAAAATCGACTAGAATGATACTTGCCATAGCCGCACTATGAGACTTGAAAGTTCATCAAATGGATGTGTAAAATCTCTTTCTTGGAACAACCTGAGGGTTTTGTGGTTCCGCACTATGGAAAAAAAAGTGTGTAAATTGATGAAATCATTGTATGTTTGAAACAATCGCCTTAGCAATGACACGTGAAGTTTGATCATGCAATGATGATCAAGGGGTTTAGTATAAACAAAAGTGACAAGTGTGTCCACGTAAGACATACGATGAACGGTTGTATCACTATTTGTTTATACACGGTAAACTCAACATGGGTAGTAGCGATTAAATGATTAAATCTACCAAGAACATGTTAAATTCGAGATTTGACATGAAAAACATGGGTTTGGTGGATTTAATCATCGGAATTAAAATCGTGAGAAGATCAGATGGTCCCGTGTTAAGTCGAACTCATTATATTGAGTTAGTCCTTGGAAATTTAACAAGGATGATAATTAAGTGTCTTGGACACCATTAGATACTAATGTACATCTATCCCAAAATCACGGAGATTGTATTTCTCAAGTATAATACACTCAGATTATTGGTAGTTTAATTGTATCTAATGAGTTGTACTAGGCTATATATTGCCTTTACGGTTAACAAACTCAGTAGGCATACGAGTAACCTCTGTGATACGCATTAGAAGGCAACAATGAGAGTTATGAGATACTTATGGTATACTCATGACTTTGGACTACACTACGTGAGATATCCAGTTGTACTTTAAGGAGTATTGCAATGTTAATCGGATATCAAACTTTAAGGACGCTAAGTCCATAAGTGGCTACGTGTACACGTAAGCCAATGTAGTCGTTTTGTGGAAATTCTCGAAACAATCTGTGATAGCTAGATCCATGATGGAACCTAAGTTGATAGCCCTAGACAAGTTTCACGAAGAGGCTAAATTTCTAAGCCATTACCTCGAGGATATTCCCATTTGGAAAAACCTGTAACTCCAATTTGTGTGCATTACGATAGTCAAGTCAAAATTGGTTAAGTACAAAGTTACATGTACATGGTAAGTCTAGACTTATAAGTCATTGACATAATACCATTAACACAATTTCTCACAACGGGTGTTATCTCTAATTCTCTATTGACTATGTAAGGTCAAAAGATAATGTAGCGGTCGTTAACTAGAGGGTAAGCAAATAGTTGTTAGAGAAGTTGAAACAAGGAATGTGACTAAAGACTTTAGAATAAGAGTTCTATAGTGGATACTCAACCTAGCTGGCACCTAGGTTCAATGGGACAACTAAATTATGGAATGAAGTGTGTCACTGTGGGGGTCTCGGACTCCTTACCACTCCTCGCTAGAACAGTGACTCTTGCACGAGGATAGCACGTTGATGCTTTAATGATTCGAATGTCGGTTGACATGTGTGAGTATGCAGGATACTCGGAAAAGAATCACTTTGAGAGAGAAGTGGAGTCACTTTAAAGGAGAATTGACTAAGCTCAATTCTTTAGAAACTCTTGCATGTGTTAGTGAATGGTGACGTTACAGAGTGATAAAGGTTACATGTATTACAAGTAGTGATTGGTTACGAGTGAATCACATGTGTTAGTTGTAGCTATGTGTAGGTTGAGTGTCCGAGGTGACAAAGTCGTCATTCCTGCAAGTCGCCAGTCGCCTCTCTGCAGGTGCAAGTTGGTTTCCATTACTTGTCGTGTAAGCTAAGTTTTCCCGCTTGCGGAGTGCATTGCACCGTAAGTCGACCGGTTTACAAGGTGGAGCTCTGTCGGGGCGATTCCAAGGGTGATCCAAGAACATCTTCATCTTTCACGAGGCCTATCGATATGAGCGGTACAGTTGATCAGAAGTGATTTAGTTCCGTCGGGTTTATGGTTACGACAGACCGACCAGGTAGTTCTTTTGACGGACCGACTATACGTATTAGTGCTTTATGCGTATTTACCATCACGAGTCTCCCACTTCTTGAATCCGCAAGAATCGTCGGGTTCGAGATGTGAAAATATTTTCCTTCTAACTTTTCTCGATCGGCTTGTCGCGAACAAACTTCCCCCAGGCCGACCAACCGTACTCCTCTCGGTCAATCCATTGGCTTGTTGAAAATTTTGATTGGATGGTGTATACACAATGGGATGACACGTCTCACAATCTAGGCCTTCCACGCAATCAGGCCGACTCTTCAACTTCCCAGCCCACTATTTTCCTATAAATAGCCCCCTTGTTCATTCTCACTTTTGCACTTCTACCTTCCTTGGCCAACCGGAATTCTCTGGAATTTTCTCCACTTTGCAAGATAAAAAAGATCTTCTCTCTCTATTTTTATTTCCTTTTTACTTTCTTTTCATTTTCCTTCTTGCTTTTTGCTTTGTTTTATTTTTTTCTTCTCCTTTCTACCTAAAACCCTAGCCGTCCAACCGCCCCCAACATTCCAAGCAACACAATCCTCTCTCTCTCTCTTTCTCTCTCTCTCTCTCTCTCTCTCTCTCTCTCTCTCTCTCTCTCTCTCTCTCTCTCTCTCTCTCTCTCTCTCTCTCTGCACCGACCGATTGCCTTCACAATCGCGAACCGACCGCCAAAGCTGACTCTACCGCCGACCGGTCACCTGCTGTCACTGCCACCAAGTATTCCTCATCCTCTTTCTTTATTATTAAATATATGTATGTTTATTTTGTTGTTGTTGTGTTTTTCGAATATTGTTGTCGTTTTTCCTTTCTGGCTGACCG